CGGGCTGTCCGCTGTGCCCCGGGCGACCCCAAGGGCTGTCCGCTGCGCCCCGGCGACCCCGAGGGCTGTCCGCAGCGCCCCAGGCAACCCCGTGCAGTGCGATACAGTGTTGAGCGAGATGGGCCCTGCAGCGCCATGCAGCCTGAGAGGGACGCACACGAGAGGCTAGGCAAAACAATACACTGCACGTGTTCCATTCGCGTCATATTTAGAAAATAAGCGAAGCTGAATTACATTTTTAGGAATATGTATGCCTGTAGTAAACCTACAAAGAAAATCTGGAAAGTTGTCATCTGCGTTAGGATGGGCTACCTGCAGAGGGTGGTGTGATTGTGGCAGGGTAGAGGGTGCTGTTCTCGTCTGGTTCTGGAGAATTACTGGTGTTCCTTTCAGTCATTGAATTTTATATAAATGTTGAGGTGCTTTATGTATGCCTCACAATTTTAAAAAATTAAATGTTTTTATGTATTAACATGTCTAGGAAGTGTAAGAAGTATCCTTCAAAATTGGAAACAATGATTAAAAATGGGGAAAAACTTTTCTCATTAAAAAAAATCCTAATAGTCTAAGTTCCTTGGAACTTAAGACATCATTCTTTTATTTTCAAGTGCTCGTTCACACCTTGTGCCCGCTCTGCCCGATGAGCCTTCAGCCAGGCTGTGGGGAGCTCCTGCTCAGCGGCTTCCCAGCGAGCTGCCCGGTGGGTGGGCACAGGTGGCAGCCCTCGGGCATTAGGAACCGGGCACGTATATGTACGCCTTTTGAGTGCTCCGTCCCATGGCTTTACTTCTGGGTGCTGTGATGCTGTCAGTTTGGAATGGAATTTCACAGTTGTCGTCATAGAATTGAGCCTATATTAAAGAATGTGTTAGTTGTCCTTTGGCTGTAGTAAAAACGCAGTTTTGTCAGACATGGCCTCTGGTAAAACACTCAGGCAGTATAGACTCTGGATCCAGAATTTAGTAGCCTAGCTCAAGCTTCTAAAAAATCCAGTTCTCTGGAATTTCGGCCAGTTTTTACATCAGATATTATAGCTTACTTCATTGTTTACTTAATGAAGTAAGCTATATATTTATTTATATTTATCAATTTTAATGAAAAATATCCTGAGTACTAGATTTCTTTACTCTGTACACAAACACCAAAGATTATATATGTATATGTGTGTATATAAGTATGCATGTGCACACGTGTGTGTGTATAACTATAATGGAAATAAGTGTATATAAAATTTTAAATACATTATTCTTTGCTGATCAGTTTTTATATCAGATGTAACCATCTTATGCTGATGAGAAAATATAAGCTAAAAGAAATCTATTTAAAAGTAACTGCCTTTAATTTATAATTCATTTTGAAATATGTTTTTCTTAAGTGTTCTGTATAAAAGAGAACCCGTGTATACTTATAAAGTTTCAACAGCATTTTCCCCATCCCTTTCCCACTCCTCCCTTATTCTTTCTATTTCTAGTTTCACTAAAAGATTTAATAATACAGACTAGAAAATAGGAGCAAGTAATGCATAGGGCCTGCCAAGCAGTGTTATATACCCATAATCTATACATGTTTTCCTGACTTGAAAGATAAGGTTGCTGATACTTTATAAATAGAACAATAGAACTCATGACTTTCAGGGTCTTTGTTTGGTGCATGTACCATTATGAATTAATTACCTTTGGCCCCAAACAGTAAATAATCTTCAGTCATTTTATTTCTAGGTTGGGACCCTTTCTGGACTCTAGGTTGTAGAGGCTGCAGCCAGACCTGTTTTGGGACTTAACATGACTTAGTTAAGGAGACGGTTAACTTGTGACCTAAAGGATTATGATAGTTTTCTTCAAGTTTCTTTAGCTTTAAGGTACAGAACTCCATTTTAAACAGTGCAGGCTCAGGGGAGTTTATTGCAGGGGTGCGAGCAGATGGGACCCAGGGCGGGAGGGGGCAGCCCCGGGAACCCCAGCTCCAGGCCTGCGGTGTCGTCGGCCCCCGGCTGGTCTGCAGGAGGCGTCTCCTGGGGCACATCTGATGGTCCTCATGTGAGACATGGATGTTCTGAGTCTTCATCCAGCTAACCACTTGAATCAGAACATAACCCCCAAATTTATGTCTCAGGAGAAAATATTTAGAACGTTGATATAAAGGACATAGAACAGGTTGTATCAAGTTAGCCTAAAGTGATGAGTCACCTAACTGCTCATCACCACTGATCCCTTTAGCAATGTATGTTTTGTGATGTATGTCTCAGAATATAATTACTTAGGAAAAGCAACTCAAATGGTATACGCTGCGGAAATGCGAGCTTACTCTGGCACGGCTGCGCTTTCCCCAAGTCTGAGCGTGACGCCGGAGGCCGCCCGGCACGTGCCCAGGCCAGGGTCGGAGCGGAGCACCGTGGTCGGCAGCAGCCGCCCCTGAGAATGCAGCGTCCGCCCCTGAGAATGCAGCGTCCGCATCCTCGATGACTTTCCCCACGTAGAAGCAGCTCCCTCGCAGTGGTGGTGGCTTTTCCGACTGTGCCCCTCACTGAGGAGCGTCTCTCCTGTGCTCACCTAGAGCAGCTGCTGCTGGGGCGCCTCCCCGGCCTCGCTGACCGCCCCTGCATTCCACGCGCCCGTGCTGGAGACACGGGAGGGACTCTCACTATTATGCTGTGTGGTGGTGATAAAGAAGACAGAAAAGGCTTTTTATGGTAGCTGGGTCCTCACAACAACTCTCCATGTCCTAGTGATAAGAAGACCCAAGTTGGCGTCCCGCAGGGTACATTAGCTTGTTATCTGCAGAGCTGATAGCCTCTTCAGTCCCTGCAGCCACCGGCACCCCTCTGCGGGAAGGCCGGCAGGCCGGGGGTAGCACAGCACGGCCGCTCCTCATGCGTGCGCGTGGGCTAACCTGTGGAACACAAATCGTGTCGTTAGTAAACACAGGCCAGTGGCTTTCTTCCGCAATTACAAAATGTTCAAGGAGACACACACTTGGCGACGGCTGTGGCTGGAAGTGCAAGACTATGAATGACCTAGTCAGGAGATACATGAACACGAGGGGGAACTATCTGGGGATTCAGGCAGGAATAAATCACAAGCCAGTGTGAAGGCTCTGTCTGTCTGTCTGTCTGTCTCCAGGGCTGCGCAGGCTCCCTGGGCACCAGCGTCCTGAGAGTTAACACCTTCACTGCAGATAGCAACTTGCGAGCTTTGGCAGGAGAGCCACCACAAAGTGGGGGAGGGTGAGGTCTTCATCCTAGTTCTCACAACAGCACCTTTTATGGCTGAGGACACACTCAAGTCCCTGTGATTAGTTTGACCCACAGAACTGGGAGCTGTGGGGCCGACGTCGGGCAACCGGTTGTAGTGTTTGCTCTGCGCGCAGGGTCAGCGATTGTGGTGGGGGTGCCAGGCATTGCGTGCGGGGTTCCTAGCACATACCGAGTGATCTGAGAAGCTGACATGTCTATACTGGTGATTTCTTATGAGTCTTTAAGCATGGAAAGAAATGAAATTTAGTACAGTGAAAATTTTAAAATAATTTCACTGTAGAGAAACTAAGGAAAAAAAAGATAAAATCTTAATGTGTTTGTACTTTTTATTTCTTTCAAGAGAGAGTAAAATAAGCATTCACAATTATTGTAAGTCCTGTTTTAAAGGATACCAAAATCTATTATTATGAATTCATTAAAAAATATCTTAAATTTAAAAAATTATTAATGAACTTCTCTAGTGTTAGTCTGTTGATCAGGCTGTTTACTAATTAGATTAGCTCTGTGAGGTAGACTTACCTGGAAAATCCTAAAACTTCCCTGGGGTTGGCTGGAAAATCAACAAATCTCAAAGCAATTTAAGTTGCTGAACCAGTAATTCTACTGTGAAATAAGACCCACAAGGATTTTAAAATACATAGTTATTTTAGAAGTATATTAGTATTTCATAGATCGTCAAGTCCTTGTTTTAAATATTGGACAAGTCATTTCATGACGATTTTAATTTTTTCTTTTTAATTGCACATTAGAAGACCAACTGTGCACTGTTTTTACCATATTCGTAACAAGAAAAAAAAGTCATTTTGGTCCAGGGGATACTTTGATGACATTCAAGAAACGTCTCCAGAAAGTCACTTCAGCAGATGAAATGAGCCACGAAGTTCTGTGCAAAGAGCCACACAAGGAGCAGGGACGGTGCCTGTGGAGTGACTTACATTTTACGAATTTTAAAATATGTGAGGTCACGACCATGTCCATTGTACATAGGCAAGAGTCATCGCCGTCATATGTTAAATAAGTATTTGAATCTTTATACTTAAAAGTTATGTAGGAAATGAGAGTATTTCAGAAAAAAAATGAAGAATGAAGCTACTGGGGATTGTGCTGCTGCCTTCTGGGGGCGGGGATGGACTCGCAGCGGGACTGGCGACAGGCGAAGTTGCCGGAGTGTCCGCTTCTTCGAAGGCTCCGTGTAACTCCCGAGGCGTCGCTGTGACAGGCTGCCCCTTCTGCGCCGTGCGTGCTGCCTTACCAGACGCGGCTGAGGGTTTCAGATTGGGGCAACCGTCTGCGCAGTGGGTCTCTCTGGGAAGTTTGGGAAGGGAGAGTCCAGACAGACATGTTCCTTTGCCCTTAATATACCATGGGAACGTAATTGCTCTTATGTCTCAAGTTCACCTTCTGGAGGATTAGAGGACGTTCGTGATCATTCAGAACCATTGCAGCGGCTCTTGTGTAGCTCCATGCAGTCTGTGCTCTCTTAATAAGTTTACAGAAACGCTCACGGCACGTTAGTACCATGTGTGTGTGAACTTTCGATTGTATTTCAGACGTTGAGAAAGAAAGGCCTGAGCGGCTGTGAGAGCCCTGACGGTGACGATTACTTTGAGCACAGTCCGCTCTCGGAGGACAGACTCAGCAGGCTAAATGAAGATAGTGACTTTATTTTCAAACGAGGCCCTGTAAGTACTTTTACTTTACCTCTACTTTTTATTTGTTGATCCTTTTTGTTAACTTCATTATTTAGGCTCTGAACAAGAAGGAACACAGAGGGTGCGACAGCCCAGACCCTGATACTTCCTATGTGCTAACTCCACATACAGAAGAAAAATATAAAAAAATTAATGAGGAATTTGATAATATGATGCGGAATCATAAAATCGCAGTGAGTACTAAAGTATGGTTTGTGCTTTTAACTTGTGCATGAAGAGACTGACCACACGTCTTGTTTATTTTCACAGCGGGTGATGACAACAATAAATAGGAGGGGGAGAGCTTTAATTTTTATTTTTATAGAACTTTAGAATAAAATTGCTGAAACCGTGTAAGGCATGTTCCGTGCCAGAAGGGAAGAGAAACTTTCTAACCCAGGCATTGCTACTTACCTGCCCTGTACCTATGGGTAGGGCTCCTAGAACATTCTGGATTCCGCTTCCTTATCTTCAGTGAGTTGCCTCATCTAATTTTTTTATCCTCACCTGAGAGCATTTTTCCATTTTCGTTCCGAAAGAGTGGGAGGGAGAGAAAGAAAGATCGACATAGTGAGTGGCTGTCTCCCGCACGACCCCAACTAGGGCCAGGGACGAACCGCAGCTGAGGTGCATGCCCTTGACTGGATTCGAACCCGCGACTCATTGCTCCATGGGCCGATGCTCCAACCAAACCGGTCAGGGCCACCTCACATACTTTTTAAAGTCTTGTCCGGCTCTAAATGTCAGTGATTTTAACTGTAGGGTGCATATGACTTCCCTCTCCCTCCTTTGACTTTTAAAAAATATTTCATGTCCTTGAAATAGATCTTGAGACTATAAAGTGCGAAGTGGTCAGATTTATCATAAAATTTGGGGTTTCAAAGTTATTTCTAATTATTTTGTAGAGTTGCTGTAACAGTAGCAGCTCGCTCTTTGGCTCTTTGCAAATGTCCTCGAGCCACTGGGCTCAGCACCCCGACGCCTGTGCGTTTCCTGCCCTGCAGGTACTGAGGAAGAGCCATGCTTCCATTTGGGTGAGAGGAAGCAGTGAGCAGTGTTCTTTTTTTTTTGTTATCCTCACCCAAGGACATTTTTCCATTTTTTTGTTCAGATAGAATGGGGAGGGAGAGAGAAACATCGAAGTGAAAGGGACACATCGAGTGGCCGCCACCCACACGACCCAACCAGGGCCGGGAACAAACTGTAACCGAGGTACGTGCCCTTAGCGGGAACCAAACCCGGGTCTCTCTGGTCCGCAGGCCGACGCTCTACCGCGGAGCCAAACAGGCCAGGGCGGAAGCAGTGTTCTTAAACTGGTTGCAAAACAGTTGCTTTAAAGTCTTCCATGCTCAGCCTCCACCAGAACAAAGCTGTTTCCTGGAGCTCGCACCCCTCGGAGAGCTCTTGAGGGCTCCCACTGGGAGCGCCCCGGCCACGCTCCTCTGGCCGCTGCTCAGACCTTGATCTCGGGCGCTCCGCACGTGCGTAGGCCTCACGGAGCAAGTCCTTGCAGCGCCACACCTGTGTCACTGTCAGAGTTAATTCCCTGAAGTATGCGCCCTGGATTATTTCGTCAGAGTAGTCCTGTACTACACGAGCCACTCATGAAAAATAGACTTAAGGAGATAGTTTTGTGCTAATATCGTTATTCTTTTTAAAGAAAAAATTTTTTTATCCTCACCCGAGGACATTTTTGCATTTATATTCAGATAGAGCGGGAGGCAGAGAGGGAGGAATATAGAGAGAGAAACATCAAACCTGCTGTGTGGGGCCCCCCCGGGAGAGAGACACATCGAGTGGTTGCCACCCACACGACCCCAACCGGGGTTGGGAACAAACTGTAACCAAGGTACGTGCCCTTAGCGGGAACCAAACCCGGGACTCTCTAGTCCGCGGGCCGACACTCTAACCACTGAGCCAAACCGGCCAGGGCTTATTATTCTTCTTTAAAAAATAAAGCAAACAAAGAATAAAATTTTGACCTAATATGGATGTTGGTGACCATACAGTTAATGTTAAGCTGAATAAATATTGTATAGATAAAAGTGTTTTACATTTGAAAATTTTAAAATCTTATATCCATTGTTTTGCATCTGTTAATGAATTGTAATTTTCTACCTGAAGTAAACTGTTGAACAGAGTACATAAACTGTGTTCTTCCAACTTTGAATTAGCAGTGTTACCTTACTTTGCAAATCACTCTTTAAAAGTCTGAAGAGGAAAGGTTTTTTCTTTCATTTTAAATTATAAAGAGTGTTGTTATTTGTTATGGTTAACAAGTATATTGAAAATGGTCTGTGGAGAAATGATAAAGGAAAATAGAAAATATTTTACAGGGGGTGTGGAATATTTTGGAAGGAAGGAAAATAATTCATGTCATAATTTAATCATCATACAATTTGAAGAGAGCTTGTCAGGAGTTAATCTTACTGTTTAGATGGTTTCTGTTCACTGTCCTTACAGTAGGTTGCATTGTGCTACATGTATAACTTGACTTGTTTTTAGTTTTGTTCATTAAGAATGTCAGTCAATTAAATCATACCAGGGCTTATTTATAATGTCTGAAATTTTATGTATTAAGTTTAAAATATTTGTGCACACTTTCCCCCTCATTATAATTGGAATCTCACAATAGAAATGTAATGTTACTAAATTGGTTTTTATTAAAGTGTTAATTTATGCTTACTTGGTAACACAGCTTATTTTGTAATGTCTAAATTTGACAACAGTACTTTAATATTAGGTTTTAACCTCTAGTTTTTATCTCTATGAATGTTTGAATATATAGTGTATGCATTCTTTTAGTATAGATGTATCAATACATAAAAAATTGAAAAGGTTCATGTTACACATACTCATATTTAAATATAGTTCCAAAGAAAATAGCTTGAACCTGCAAGTTGATTTAGTAAGAACCTATTCCCATTCTCTACTTTTAATAACTAGTTATCTTGTCAAATTAAAGTCCATAAGGTAATACATTCAACACAGATAAAAATGAAACTAACAGTTTTCTCTTCTTGTGTGTTGTTTGCAGCCTGGTTTGCCGCCCCAGAACTTCTCCATGTCGGTGACGGTCCCTGTGAGCAGCCCTAACGCTCTGTCCTACACTAACCCAGGGAGCTCACTCGTGTCCCCATCTTTGGCGGCCAGCTCCACATTGGCAGATTCAAGCATGCTCTCTCCACCTCAGGCCGCACTGCACAGGAACGTGTCCCCTGGCGCCCCGCAGAGACCGCCGAGCACCGGCAGTGCAGGTATGTAGTGAGCCGCCGGCTCGGAACACGACGGGGCACAACCGAACTGCCGACACGCAGTTCACATGCTCCTCGCCGTGCTGGTGGGTAAGCGGTGGCTCTCGGCGTGTTCTTCGTGTCGGGCGGCTTGGCCCAGGTGGGTGGAACCCTGTGTGCACCTGCTGTGCGGGCCCCCTGGGAAAGCCACCTTGGACAGGACGTTGATGCGGATACGTGAGCAGAGGTGTAGAGTTGAGTGCGGGCCGCTCACATTGAGATACGGGGAGAGACTTCACTGGCTGGAGTTCGTGTTTTGCGAGTCCCCCGCCCGAGTGTGGCCCAGCTCGGCGGAAACGGGCATTCGGTGCCTTCGCAGCCGGGTCCTGGTGCCCGGCGGCACTGCCGGCTCTCGTCAGTGTGGACGGTCTGGCGCCGGTGCCGGGGCCTCGCACCGGGACGGAGGAGGGAGCGGACATGCGGGGTGGCAAAGCAGTTCAGTTAGAGGCTGTGCAACAGTGTGTTCTTATACTATTATTGACCAAGCATTGTATTATTCGTCATGTTGTTATTGTATCCTTACTTATGATTTACCTTTTAGGTAATAATGGCTGGTAATGTAACACATTTATATTATGCATTAATGCCAAGTTCAGACTGGGCTGTCTTGAATTTTCATGTTCTTTAGAACCTCTGTCTGTTTAGCTTGCAGTCATTCAGACAAGAACAGCTCACGTTCATTGTTTGTCCTCCCCTCTCTCCGTGGTCCTAGGTGGGATGTTGAGCACGTCAGACCTCACAGCGCCGAACGGAGCTGGAAGCAGCCCAGTGGGTGAGTGAGTCCTGACGTCTGACTTTGTAGGCCTCCGTCCCCGCACGGGGAAAGGGACAGCGTCCCTCAGACGAGGCCTTCTGCTAGACGAGGAGGGACAGTGGGGAGGGCGGACATTTCTCTCTTTGGACTTCATTTCCTTCGGAGGGGTACTTTTTGCTAATACTTAACATGTTTTTATAACTGCCCTGTTTTATTCCTTACACCTTGCCCTGAAGTCCAGTTACTCCTTCATTCATTAAATACTTACTGAGGGCCTCCTTCATAGCAGACATTGTTCTTTCTAAAGACTACTGTGCCTTAGTTCAGTGTTCACATCAAAACTGTTAAGGAGAAGCTTTTTGTGTCATCTGTTCTCACCAAAACTAGACTGTCAACAGACTACTGGTACATCTTAACAATGGTTGAAATGTGTTCGGAGAGCGCACCATGACGAAAGAATTGAGGCACTTCTGCAGGGTCTGTTCTGGTGTTCGCACGAGGAGCACACACATCTTGTCGTGGTTGCAGCCACATCTGTACTTCTGCTTGGCTCCTCTCCCACGATGACTGGCAGTTTAAACCCATGTCATCAATGTGTCCGCCCCACCCAGAAGTGCTGGTAAAGATAGATCGTGATCTTGCGATGACAAAAATATGGCATATATGTCAGAGTTATAAGAATAACTGTATCCCTTTAGATGATCATATTAGGTCATCCGGGTCACCAGTCACCTGAAGGTAGAAGCAGGTATTCCGTCTCTGCTTCATAATGCGTTGTGTGTTCCTGGAGGCATCTGAGAACACCTCTCACAGGGAAATTCCGATTGCTTCACCTCAGTCCACAGAAATGTGAAAGCTTCAGCCTGATGGAGATGAGTTAATAACTTAATTTAAAATGATGAGAAAGAAATAAACAGGCATTATTCGTAAGACAAGTTATAAAACAGTGACCTAAAGTAGGAATAACTGCCTAATATATCTACCACTGCATTAATTGATATTTTAATGAAATTAAACAGACAAGACTTGTAGGATCTTTGTAAACAGATAATTAATATGGAAAAATTCATAAAGGTCTTACCAATTATACATTAGGCTGTCACACTTGGATGTGTATTTCCAAATAGTGTCTTTTTAACTCTGTTTTAGTTGTTTGCATGTTACATTTTTTCATACATGTTTTTATTCCCCCAACACTATCCATCTTGCTCCCTTTTCCTTTCTAGGCGGGTTAAGGCTGGAATCAATCATTTCTGTTTCATTTAAAATTTCATAATTTTAACTAGGTCTTGGTTTTATTTCCAAACTTAGTTTCATTTCATGGAGTTTGGCTATTTGAAGATGTTCTCCCCAAGCCTTTATTTTTTTCGCATCCTGCTGGCACCATGAACATGTTCTCTTTTCCTCATTTTATTTTTTTCTCTGCACATTAAATCTAGACTTTGTCTTTGCCGCTCAGTTTTCTGTGTTCCTTTTGGTAATTTCAAACTCGGACTGCCATCCTGATGTGAACTTTGTACCTGTAATCCTGTTTCTTTCATTTCTTCTTTTTAATCCATTTTTTGTAAGCCCCCTTCTCCCTCTGCAGACCCTCAGGCTCAGAGGGCTGCATGGGTCCCAGTACTCAGGCTGGGCACACGATCATGGGTGTGTGCAGACTTCTCCCTCTGCAGACCCTCAGGCTCAGAGGGCTGCATGGGTCCCAGTACTCAGGCTGGGCACACGATCACGGGTGTGTGCAGACTTCTCCCTCTGCAGACCCTCAGGTTCAGAGGGCTGCATGGGTCCCAGTACTCAGGCTGGGCACACGATCATGGGTGTGTGCAGACTTCTCCCTCTGCAGACCCTCAGGTTCAGAGGGCTGCATGGGTCCCAGTACTCAGGCTGGGCACACGATCACGGGTGTGTGCAGACTTCTCCCTCTGCAGACCCTCAGGCTCAGAGGGCTGCATGGGTCCCAGTACTCAGGCTGGGCACACGATCACGGGTGTGTGCAGACTTCTCCCTCTGCAGACCCTCAGGCTCAGAGGGCTGCATGGGTCCCAGTACTCAGGCTGGGCACACGATCACGGGTGTGTGCAGACTTCTCCCTCTGCAGACCCTCAGGCTCAGAGGGCTGCATGGGTCCCAGTACTCAGGCTGGGCACACGATCACGGGTGTGTGCAGAGCTGCTCGGCCTGTCCCTCCTCTCCTTCCGTAGCTCTGTCCCACGCCCCCCCCTCCCCCCCAGGATACCATCTCAACATGTTTAGTGTTCGTCACCATGGTAATAGTCATAATTAGTGGACATGAATTTTTATTAAAATTTTTAATTCAAGTAAGTATTAACATATTCTAAGTGCTTAGTGATTTATTTAAAAGCATTTACATAGACAGAGAGACATCCTGTTTCTCAGTGCACATTTCCGCAAGAGTGGATGTCTTGATTCTTCATTGATTCATACTTTTGTATACTTATTTTACCTTTACTAAGTCTAATTCTACTTATTTGGATTATATCCTAAATGACATTTGTGCTATAACTACTTTTTAACATGTGAGGTTAGATTAACCTAAGTAGACATCTTGTATCACTTAATTCAGATGCCAGCTGGAAGTGATTATTTCTGTGCAACACTCAGAGCATATGTGGATGTAAAGTGTTTCTTGCTATAAATACCCACCCCCACCCCAATAAGTGGTTCCTCATAGGTATTTTAAAGTGTTATTTTTGTGAGGAAGAGTCAGATAATATATATTAGCTCATTTTCAACAGTGGTGCCATTTTGCTTCAATGGTTTTGGAAAAAGAAATAATATAAACCCATTTTATGCCTAAATAAAGTTTCCATGAATAAAAATATTAAACATTAAATTCCCAGAGAAATTCAGAAGAAAATACGTTAAAAGCTGTGGGTATGATTTCTAATCTGCAGTTTTCAAAGCATTGTTTCTTGGAATTATATCAGAGGCACAGACTTGTCTGTGTTTTGCAAATCACATGCTAAATAAAACTAAATAGGTTTCTTCACTGCAGGACTTATCAGAGACTTAAAATGTGAACCTACTTTGTGAATCTCCAGACTTAGTATGTAACATATCAGTTATGTTATATCAGAGATTTGGGGAACTATTGCTTCTGATCTTAAGATGATACGTAGAAAAGATAGTTTTTGATTAATTTGAAAACTTTCATAAATAAAATTAAAATGGAGGTATAAAAAAAAGCAAGATAGACTTCTGTGATAATGGCAACTTGGACATTTGGACTGAGGCGAAGTATTCTAAAGATCTGCTTGAAAGCATTTGAGAGCTAACAAGATGATGCGTTACAGGCACAAGATCCAGGGAATGACGAAGACAGACACTCGGAGTCCATGGCCGCTTTTCTCCAGGCGGCGTTGCAGCCCCACCGCGGGCTGTCCCCCAGGCCGTGTGATAGCCGCAGATCTTGAGGACAGAGAGCAAAGCTCAGGGCCCACCGAGAACTGGGAGAGCCTAGCACGTTCTTCCAATGTTGGGTTGAGGCCCCCCAAAATTGGACCCTAGAATTAGAGTAAACGGATGAAGAGTTGCTTCTGATGGATGAGCAAAGAAAGTGTTTTCTTGAGCCGGAACCTCCTTCTAGTGAAGATGCTGTGAATGTTGAAATGGCAAAGGGTTTAGAACAGCGCGCAAGCTTAGCTGATAAGCAGCGGCAGGGTTCGGGAGAGGGACTCCAGTTTTGAGAGAAAGTCTGTGGGCAAAATGCTCTCAAACAGCGTCTCGTGCTACAGATACAGAGAAATCTTTCCTGGAAGGTAGAGTCAGCTGATGAGGCAAACGCCATTGTCTTACTTTAAGGACTCGACACAGCCCCTCTAGCCTTCAGCACCCCTCGACTGCTCCCTGCCCCCACCCCTCCACTGCTCCCCCTCCTCCCGCCCCCTTCCACTGCTCCCCCTGCCCCCCTCCACTGCTCCCCCCCTCCACTGCCCCCCTTGTCCCCCCCGTTAGCAGCCATAAACATCGAGGCAAGACCCTGGGCAGCAAAAAGATTACAGCTCACTGAAGGCTCAGATGATGGTTAACATTTTTTTAGCAATAGTTTTAAATTAAGGTAAATACATTGTTTTCTTAGACATAATGCTGTTGCACACACTTACTAGTTGATAAAGTTGATACCATGTAATATATATATAACTTTTATATGCATCAGCAAGCCAAAACATCTGTGTGACTTGCTTTATTGGAATATTCACTTTATTACAGTGGAACTGAACCTTAAATATCTCCACGGAGTGCCTGTACATATTATAAACAGAGGGCTTTCTGAGAATACATAAAAATCATCAAAAAAATTCAATTAAAAAATATGCATAAGAACAGAGACATTTCACAAAAGAAACTATCCTGGTATTTAATAAATTTGTGAAAAAATGCTCAAGCTCAGTAAGCAAGGAAGAACAAAATTAAATTGCAGACACTATCACCTACCAGAATGGACAACTAAAGCAAAGTAGATAATACCAAGTGTTGACAGGGCTATGGCTAAACCCAAACTCTCATACACTCATGCAGTACAAGTGGTGCAGCCGTTTTGACATGTATTAAAATTGAAGATACGTGTATTCTGTGACCTAGCGTTGTCACTCATCTGTATGAACTGTAGGGAAATGCATGTGTGCACATGGGCAGCAAGAGACATGTCCAAAATGTGCATAGCATCGTATGTCACAGCCCATACCTAGAAATAATCCAGATTTCTGTCACCCATGGAATGGACAAATCAGTTATGTATAAAGGAATACTGTAATGCATCGAAAATGAAGAAACTATAACAGTAATCCACAATAAGGATGGATTTTACCAACGTAAAATGAAGGCAAGAGAATGCAAATACTAAATGATTCTATCTACGTAAAGCTTGAAAAGCAGGTGAGGAAACTACAGTGTGAAGGATGCAAGTGGAGACAGATGTCAGACTGTAAAGGAAGACAAGGTGCTACTGACAGTCACGACAGTGTTCCTTCGGCAGGCGGGACAGGAGTGCCCCGGGC